TGGAGCACAAGCTGGTCCTTGCCACATCCTGTAATCCCAAGCTATGCTGATGTTGACTGTCACCACCACCGCGCTACATGCCCCCTTGGCCTTGGGATTCAGGGTCTTCTTCCAAACACTGAATGTTAATATATGCAAAGCACCATATGGAGCAGTTGGGATATAACACAAGTAGTGTCTCCCTTTGAGGTCAAGTTAAACAAGGCTGTTTAGATGTAAATTAACTAAAATTAAATAACATGCAAAATCCAATCACTGGGTTGCATTAGTCATATTTTAAAGGACTAAAGAGTCACACATGGTTACCATACTGTACAGCACACCTGTATGATATTCCAGCCTAGGAAACCACACCAGCCCAGACAGGTACCCCACCCAGGCTGTGGCACATTCCAAGGTGATGCTGATGCTATTACTCATTGTTTCCAAGCTGCCAGTCAGCAAATCCTCAAGTAACAAGCCTATGCTATCTTACAGGAACAAGCAGGGACGCCCAAGTAGGCTTCAGCCTCAAACTGTTGGAAAATAAGGGCTCTTAAAAAAATAAATTCTCCTGATTATAAATGTAATATCTACTTCTATATATAGAGAAAAGCTTGGAAGTACTGAAAATGTCACTGGTAAAATGCAGCACTCTTGGCCTCACCTTCCAGAAATATCTACCAATTGAATGTTTTAGTTTTTTCTTCCTCTTCTGGGGTGGTGGCACAGAATTACTCTTTCCTCATGCGTCCTCTCCTCTGTGTATTTAAACTAACCAATGCCTGCCCTGCTCTCCACTCATTGCCTTCCTCCCTCTCTGCTTCACAATGCTCTGGCATGTTCCATCACCTCTTCTTCTCCTTTCACCCATCAGTCACAACAGCACTCACTGCACACAGTCTCTAATGTTCCCATCAGGTACGGAAGCCACCAGCGAGAGAACCTTCTGTAGCTCTAGCTTAACTCCTCATTCATTGCACACAAAGAATATACTGCCCCTATGCCCCTAGCTCTTGATGTAGGGACTTTCATGGATGACGTGACCTTGAGTATCAGATCCAGCATGCAAGGATGCTTATTTGGGTTGTTTCTCCTCCTCTTCCCATTTTCTGTAGATTCGGCTTTTGCTGTTCCTTGTCCACAGCTGTTTGGAGGGTGTACTGCTCTGTAACTCTGCTTCAGGACCTCCTCCTTCCAGTCCCAAATCCTCCTTCCAGTCCCAATTCTGTCATCAGTAATGACACAGAGCTCTCTTCCTTTCTTTCATGAACATTAAGGACATCGTGTTCATGTGTCTAACTCCTTCCTCATACCTCCGCCATAGGTACAAACTCCTCAGCAGGTTACTCAAGGTCTTGGCCCACTAGTGTCCCCTTGTCAGTGTCCTGAGCCCCTTTATGCATCAGCTCCCACAACACTTAGAGCTCACAGTGCTAAGTGTCCATCTCTCCTACTGACCCAAGCCTCAGGACACAACCTTCATGTTCCCATCTGCTCACATTCTCTTCATGCCTGGCAGGCCGTTTCCAGCTGGAATCTTCTACTCTGTAATATTCTTTTCACAAGCCCTGATCAGACGTGATCTTGTGACCCACTGTGCCAGCATAACCCCTCCTAGTATCTCTCCTAAGGCCCTGATCCCTGCCCTGTGGATGAGTGGAGTGATCACCTACTGATCTTTCTCTCCCATCAAGTTGAGATCCCTATGAGCATACAGATATGAATGGTACCACATTAAGTACAAGGGCTAGAAATACAAATGTGCCCTCCCTGGGTACTGTTTGATTCACACAGTGGGTGCCAGGACAATGGGGAGACACAGGAGCAGGTCTAGCTGGACCTATACCCTCACTCCTAGACCCTCTGTGTTCCTGCGTTGAGCGTTAAGTTGGGTACTCTCCTACCACATTCTCTGTTTGCTTCTCTGAGGTCTACCTGACTTTACAGTTCTCTTGGATGTGTTCAGTCCTAGTATGATGAGCAGTCCCCTCAGCCCTGGTTTCATGGTACAAAAAATATTAAATGAGAAATTATAGAAATACATAATTCTAAAGTTTTAAATGACTTTTATTACAGTTATAATTGCTCCTATTACTTATCAGTTATTATTCATCTTTCAGTGTGCCTAATTTATCAGTTAAACTCTATCATAGGCAGTATACGCTGGACTTGGTACTCTCCATGGCTTCAGGCCCCCTGGAAGACCTTGAATATACTACTTATGGATAAAGGGCAAATACTTTTTCTTTCAGTAACCAGTAATCTTTTCTCCTGTATATAACTTCTGAATCCCACCTACCACATTCATGTTGGTTACTTTTTATGTATTTGTATGATGGGGGCTTGAATCCAAGGCTGTCAATGGGGCTTGAATCCTTTGTATGGGGCTACATTCTTAGCCCCTTTTATATTTTTGAGACAGTTTTATTAAATTTCTAAATTTCCCAGGAAATTCACTTCCTCCTCACGGCTGGCAGGCCATCTCCAGTTGGAATCCTCTAGTCTGCAAGATTCTTTTCACAAGTCCTGATCAGACGTGACCTTGTGACCCACTGTGCTGTCATAGCCTCTCCTAGTATCTCTCCTCTGGCCCCAATCCTGCCCTATGGACGAGCTGAGTGGTCATCGACTGATCTGTCAGACCCTTCTAGCCTCTCCCAGTCACAGTGAATCGCACCAGTGAAGCCACAATCTGTACCCAGTGAGAGACACTAGGGCACATGGCCTGTGGCCCTGCATCAGGAGGATCCTCCTTCCTCAGTCTCTCAGAGTGCTGAATATGGGTGGGGGTACCACTGCTCCCAGCTTACACTTCCTACTTAAAAAATACCAAGAACAAAGAAAGATGTGTAAATGACATTTTAAAATTCACTCATGTTGATTTACTTTTTAACTTACCTTTTATTCATACTCAACTCACCGAAGAGAAATATGAAACAATACCCACACAGTCACATTTTATATATTATTCTTTTTTGTGTGTATTGGAGATTGAACACAGGACCTTATGCTTGCCAGGCAGGTGCTTATGCCCCTGAACTATATCCCTTGCCCTTATATATTATTCTTGAATGTTACTGGCGTGTTTTATAGTTTATGGGTGTGTGTGTGTGTGTGTGTGTGTGTGTGTGCATGGACGTGCCATTAAGTAATAATAAAATGACATTTGTTGAATATTTTGAGCACTATGTTATGCACATTATTTCTACCGTATCACTGAATCCTCCCAGAACTCAACTGACTAGGTCCTGTGGCCATTTCTACTTCGTAGGAAGAAACTGAGGCAGAAAATGCTGAAGTCAAGGCTGGGGAGATAGCTTGGTGGTCTAAGTGCCTGCCTGGCATGTGCCAGGATCAGGGTTCAATCCTTAGTACCACATGCCCTACCATCCTGGACTCCTGGGTGTGCCGTGCAGGCCTCTGAAACCAGGTGTGGTGGTGCACGCCTGTAAGCCCAGCACTGGGGAGGCTGGGACAAGAAGTTCACTATGAATCTGAGCTGTACAGTGAGACCCTGTACCAAATAAATAAGTAAAAGGTTAAAAAAAAAATTTGCCAGTGGTCACATAGTCCTATGCTGGGCTCAGATGCCCTTATTATGTTTATAATCTCTAGTATAAAATCAATACGGGGGCTAGGGAGATGGCTCAGTGGAATAAGTGCTTCCCTGGCAAGCACAAGGGCCTGAGTTCAATCCCCAGTTCTGAAAATAAATAAATAAATAAAATTAAATCAATATTGTATCTACATTGTTACTTTCTTTTTGGTACCAAGAATCATACTCAGAACCTTGAGCTTGCCAGGCAGGTACTGTGTTGTGTAGCTATATCCCCTACTTGGTATCTTTTATAGTTCCTTTGTTGCATTTCCTAAAGCCATAGCTAAACATTGCAAACTGCCATTATTGTCGCAGGGCTTGAACTACCACAAACTTGCACCCTCTAAGACAACACTGGTTCTCTGGGACAGGCCAGAGAGCAAGGGACTCAAGTGATTCTGGCACAGCACAGGGAAGAACAAGACAGCATTAGTACATCTGGGGTGGCTGAGGTCACTGGAGCTGAACACAGGCATTGGTCTTTGGCCAGTTTCAGGTGTAACTGCCCTTGGGACACACAGCATGTGGCAGACCCTTCTGGCCTCTTCCAGCTAACTGTGCCAGTGAAGCCACAATCTGTACCCAGTGTGACAGACACTCAGGAACAAGGTCTGTGGCCCTGCATAGGGGCAGCACTATTCACTCATTCACTCTAAAACATGCCCCCAAACACTTCCTGCGTCTACTGCATATCAGGCCTGGAGGCATAACAGTAACTAAGAAAGCCACAGTACCTGTACTCTGGGGGACAAAGTCTACTTGTGAAAACAAATATTAACTAAATTCTCAGAACAGTTGCTGAGTTGCAGCTGGGCCTTGGGCAACAGGCAAGAGGTGCTCAGACAGTTCTTCAGGGACTGAGATCTGCAGAGTGAGGGGTTCTCTTGGGAAGAGAAGAAGGTACATTCCAGGCCAGTGGGAACACTAACAGGGACAGAGGGGCCAGGTGGCCTGTGAAAATAAGGAGGGCACAGAGCTCTCAAAGGGGACTTGAGGAGAAATTTAAGTGCTTTGGCTTTGACCTTGAGCTCAGCCAGAAGCATGCTGAGGGTCTCAGGAAAGAGTATGCAAGATCTCTTTGGCGCTGGGTGGACTCTACCAAGGTCTGGGGATGGAGGGAAGCTGTTAGGTCTTCAAATTTGACTTACTGTTCTCTGCAGGAGCTACCAGGCAGCCTCTGCCTTTGCAGAGACTGCATTTTGCAGATTCAAATCCTGCAGCAAGATGTGGAAGGCCCCTGCCCATGCCCCACTGCTGAGCATAGAGGAGAGCTGGGCTAGAGCCAACAGATGTGGAGGGCCCATTGCTGCCTGGCTCCCTGGGCACCTGCGCACAGGTGATCTCACGATGCACTAAGTGCTGCAAGATGTCAACCTGTGTCACCCCAGTGCAATCACTTTTTGGATACAGCCAACCTTACCTGGTCACTCAGCGGTATTCCCTTTCCCATCTTCACTCGGTTCTCTTCTGGGTGAAAGTCATCTGCATCGTAGAATTTCCAGCCCAGCTTCAGGAATAAGGGAAAACTTGTCTGAGTCAGGCTGCGTGGCTCTTGTGATAGCCACTGTGGAGTGAGTTACCAGCAACCATAGACACAATCCCACCACCCCTCTTCCTATTATCAGCCCAAGGGTGTCTTCATCCCCAGAGACAAGATAAAGAGCTTTGTGATGCCACTATACAACCTTCATTCACCCCTGGGCTGAGGCAGCTCCATTTTTCATTCATCACTATTTGTAATCACCAAGGAGAAAACCAAGTTAGCCCAGTGGTTGCAAGTGAGCAGAAGTGTGCGCACAAACCCTTCCAGAGCACAGGACAGAGAAGCAATGAGACACAATGTGCAACAGGGATGGCTACCTCAGAGGCCAGCATGGAACCCACGGTCGACCTGTGGAGAAGACACAGACATCCCAGTCATTGCCTTTGCCAAGTGTGTGACACTTCCCTCCTTGCTGCCAGGGCTCCAGAGCCACCCTAAAGCCATGACCTAAAGCCATGATGCTTTCAAACCTGGCCAGCTTGGAAACCAGCCTTCCCTATTCTCTAGGAAAATCAACAGACATAATTAGCCAGTTGCCTCTATTTCTTTTCCAAAAGTCAATATAGATATCATTACCTTGAACAATCAGTGTTATGGTATCTGTTGTATAGATGTCTACCCTTTGAGAGAAAACACTGAGTAACATGATAAAGTTATGCTGAAGTTGGTGGAGAGGGGCTCTGATCAAGGGGTTAATCTCTAGCACTAGCTAGGTAAAGTTTGGGGGACTCAACAGTATCAAAGCATTGTTTGGGTTGAAAAGCACACTCTTATTAAAGGGCCTGAGTCCATGACTCAATTAACCATAACTTGCTAAGACGTGATCCCAGGGTTCTCCACACAGTATCTTTGACAATTTGCTTGTACCAGTGGGCAGGGCTCAGGGACAGGGTCTCAAGAGTGGAAGATCTGGGCTGCAGCCATTGTTCTGCTACTAACTGAGTGCATTCTTGGGCAACTGGCTTCTTCCTCTAGTCCTCTGTTGTCTCAAGGGGAACTGAGTGACATCATTTATCCTACACTCGTGTTTACTTCAGCAGCTGATCTTTACTGAGTAGCCCTGGTTCCCAGGACATAACGATGAGACCACAGAGATGTGGTCTCAGACATCCCGAGGCTCAGTCTAGTACCATGGCGTAGCAATAGAGTCTGGCAGACAACGACACAATTTCTCAAGTGTTTGCCCTAACATCAGTCACTAAAAACCCATGTTCAGAATTTTTAATGTATCCTTATACCACTTCTTCATGTCCTTGCTCTTACATTTTTCCCACCATCCCTGTAATTATTCACTTGTTGTTTTTATTTAGTTACTTCACTTTTAAAAATTAAATAAGTGGGTTAAAGATTTTTTCCTTCTCATATATAAGTATCACTGCTTGTCTGAAATGGAATGTAACAAAAAATATATACACTGAGAACGAAATATTGTGATGAAATTCTAGCTGGATACCTTTGTCTAACATGGGTTTTGTTAAAAAGGTTAAAGACACATTTGTATCTCTCCCATTATATTCACTCTGGTGAAGGCATTATGGGTGACATGCTGCAGCCTAGTGGGGAACTGCTGACTCAGGAAGACTCAGCTGTGCACGAAGTCCAGTTAGATTAACTCACAAATCACAAGTCTTTCCAGCTATCATGGATAAACCAAAAGAAAAGCTAAGCCAATTTTGGGCAAAGACTCAGGTAGGAGACAAGAGGAAAAGGAAAAGCCACATCTGCTGCTTCGTTTAAATCTCCTGAACCAGAGAACATCTGGACTTCAAAATATCCAGCAAGGAGCCCAGCAGGAACAAGGTGCAGGGTGGCTCACAGGAAACTGGTCAGATCTAAGCATTATAAACTAACACAGGCCCAAGCATTTCCTGGTGTTCTGGTCTAAATCAGGAGCAAAGAACTTAAAAAGACAGTAGGCTACTGTGATGGAGGAAATGAAGTTTTAAAAGGTTTAAATCTGTTCCATTAGAAAAAGAGGATGGTATCATTAACACTTTAAAAAATGCTGGACATTCTGGTGCACACTTATAATTTCAGCACTGAGGGAGACAGAGGCAGGAGGATTGCAAATTGAAATCCTGCTTAGGCAATTTAGAGAGGCCTTGTCTTAAAATTCTAAAAGGGGGGGGCAGGACATGGTGGTGCACACTATTAATCAGTGTACTTGGGAGGCTGAGGCAGGAGGATTGCTATGAGTTTGAGGCCAGCCTGGACTACATAATGAGACTAAAAAATAAATAAGTAAAATAAAATAAAAAGAGAAATAAAAAGAAAGAGGGCTGGGGATGTAGGTTAGTGGTGGGGCACCCCTATGTTCCATCCCCAGTACTGAAAATAACTGATTTTAAAATATGAAGAAAATGAGTTACTGAGCTCCTTCCTGTCGCCTGAGACAACCCTGGGCTGGTGCTGGTACTTCCCTTGAATCATGGTCTCCAAGTGCCAGTTTTTACCCTCTGACTAAGAAGCCCAGACAATCTCCTGTGCCCAAATCTGTGGATGGGTCAGCCTGCTGGGCCTTCCCAAGGAAGAAACAGAAACGAAGCAAGTGAACAAACTCTGCCAATCATTTTTCCAGATAAGGTCAGAACTGACTGCCAAAATCCCAAATTTTTAAGTAACATTTGTCAACCATCCATAAGTATGTGCACTACTAGGGAAAGAAGAAGCAGAGGCAGCATCGTCGGGCCACAGTTGAAGTGACAGAACCTGAAGACATATGATCAGGTTATAGATTTTTATTTCAGTGAAAATGCTTCCTTTGAACATAAAATTCTTTCTATAAAATTTCATCTGAGACTGGTGACTTCCACTGAAGTAAAATGGAAGCGTGGAAAGGACTTGACAAAACGTTCAAGTCAAACACAGAGTAAAGCCAGTGGAAAGAGGCAGCATGATGAACCCAAGAGCTTTTTCCTCTGGTTTCCTGATTACTGTGATGCACGTACTGATGAGTTAGGAGAGGGCATTGAAGATGACACTGGGCCAAGTCCACTGCAGCGCTACTGGTTCCTAGTATGGACGATGAGGAGGGAAGGAGAAGATGACAATAAAGGATTAGAGGGCAGGGGTACAGCTCAGTGGCACAGTGCCTTCCTGGCAAGTGCGAGGTCCTGATTTTGATTCCCAGTACCAAAACAGGATTAGAGAATACTGACAAGGGGGTGAGAATGGAGGTGATGATGGGAGGAAGAAAAGGATGAAGGAGATGAGTAACAACACTGATGGAATCCAACCTTTTGTAAAAAAATTTTTCTCCAGTCCCTGGGAGCAAGTTAGAGTCTCTGCCTGCCCTTGTGCTCAGCCGCTCTGTTCCAAGGCCTCTTTTCTCAAATACTATGGTTCTTGATTTATTTCATCGGGAGAAACAAGGATACAACAGGAAAGAATCTCTACAACCTCCTGCCGAAATTTACTTTTATCCTTTCCTGTCTCAATACAAATTCTATGGATTCAACACCATCGTGCTCTGCAGGGAAAAAAGAAAACCTCTGTGCTGTCTTTGCTCTGCTGCGACTCGGGGGGTGCTGCGCCCTGTGCAGCAGTACACAGAATTCCAGCTTTACTCTGCTGTTCTCTGTATACTGAGCTCAGACTACACTCTATTGCTATGCAAGTATGGACAGTTAGCATTTACCAACCTGCCTCAGACTACTTTCTCGTTTAAAAATGAAAAAATAACTTTAAAAATGAGACACAGAAGGTCAGTGGAGGGCAGATTAGAGATCTCTGGGTGGGTTAAATGGGCATTTGACGACACACCTTCTTCTTTGGCAGGTTTAACTCTGATGTTAACAGACATCCTTGCAGTTCACAATTAAACGTTTAGAATAAAATTCTCTTCTAATGAAAGCAATTTTTTTACAAATTAAGAAAATTAACACTGCTGATGTTCAAGTAGCTCATTCATGCTCAAAGTCAATCAATACTGAGCACTTCCTACGCGCAGAACTGCCAGGACCCTATCAGAGAACAAACAGGAATGGGTTTCCTCTGTTCACGTGGGGAGGGGAAAGCAGTGGACACAGCACCCGACAGTGTAAATAGGTAAACGTATTACTCGACAGCACCTAACAGTGTTTTAAATACACCCTCCTGGTTTAACATTCTCCTGAACTATTAGTCTTTGGCAATTCTTTTTCCAAATGTCATGACGTATCATAAAAAAATCCTGTGGGAAATTGGGACTGACCAAGTCACCAAAGAACTTAGTGTTGCAACATCGTATGGTGAACACGATGACTGAACACAATCAATTCTCAGTCATTTTATTACTCAGTCAGCAACCTGATGACTTCTCTGACCTTTAACCATAGAAGGCTGTATTTTAATCAGGTTGTGTCTCTGACTCTCGTGGCTGGACACTGCCGCGCCTGTTTTTGGATGAGGTCACACGGCCAGATTCCGGTAGCTCGGAAGTCAAGGCTAACTCTCCAGTCCCCGAGGCCAGTTCCGGCCCGGTAGCACCGCCAACTTTCCGGGGTCCTCGCCCTCCTTCCCACGCCGCCACGCTCCCGCCTTCCCGCAGCCACAGCTCCTTCGGGCTCAGGGCCTGCGTCACCGCTCCCGGGGCGCCCCGGGGTCCCGGCCCTGCAGGTCCACAGCCGGCGCGGGACCTCGGACTCCTCGCGGAGTAAGGTCCCCAGGGTCTTCGTCCCCGCACCCCGAGCCCCAGACCTACTTTCCCGCGCCGCTCACGCCCATCACGAGCAATGCACTGGGCGCCGCCATCGCCGCTCCCGCTCCGCCCCACGCTTACCGCAGAACAGGCCCCGCCCCCGACCGCAGGGGCGGGCCGCCCTCATGGCCCCGCCCACCGCAGCAGGAGCCCCGCCCACGCATATGCCCCGCCCCGCCCGGAGATCGCTTCCTCCCCTCTCAGTCCTCCGCCCAGCGCCAGGGTACTAGGAGACCGGAGATACCCCCCCACCCTGCGCCTCCTGCCTGCCCTTCTCCGTGGCATCTGGCAGTTCTTGCCCTTCCTCCGTCCAGTCATTCATTTATAAAAATGTTCTTGAAAAAGAAGCAAAATAAATTCCCCCCTTTCCCACACCAGGGGGCAATCTCCCGCGGAGACAGCGTGACCCTTAGGAACCTGAGCTCGTGCTTACAAGTGTGGACCTCGACCTCTCCTCTTGGGGGAGCGGGGACAGGCGGCGCGTGTCCCTGGGCTCTGATGCAGAGGTGACCACAGCCCCAGCATTTCATCTTTGCTTCACCCGCCAGGGAAATCACTTAGGAGGAGCGCGCTCTGTCAGGCCCAGTCCCGTGACATTTTTTCTTTTCTTTTTTTTTTTAGACAAGGTCTCGCTTGGACTGTGTGTGTAGCCTAGGCTGGCCTCAAACTCACAGTGATCCTCCTGCCTCATCCTCCTGGGTGCTGGGATTACAGCCATGCACCACCTCACAGGGGCCCTGGACGATGTTTTTCATTTTGCATTATTCAGAATATTTGGTTAAAAATACTTCTGAGACATCTTCACCACCGCCTGTTTACCAAGTTCTGATTACTCTCTGCCCCAGAAAACAAGGAGAGAGAAAAGCATCTATTGAATGACTCTTTCCATTATTACTGTCCTGATCGTTTTTTTTTTTTTTTTTTTTTGCTTTGCCTGAATGGTTGAGATTTTAGTCGTGTAGGGGTTGTTCAGGCAGAAAAATCGAAGCCTGGCGACAGTTTTCCAGGTCAGTTAGGGTCAATAAATATGTTCTAAATATCTTCCATTTGCAGATTGGTATAATATTAACAGTCACTGAAAGAAGAATGTAACTCTGTGGGCGCTCCTGTCAAGAGGAATGGATATGTAAACAAGTTCTATAACTTGGACTGTTTTACTAGCTTAATTTCCCTCAATATTTGGATCAGAATGATCAGCAGAAAGTCTGTTTTTTTCTCACAGCCTCTCCCAAGTTATGTTCAAGGACCTCATGTATTCTCCAGTCCTCGGAGTGGTGGCAGGAAACGGCACTAAACTAGGTGATATGAAGAAGACTCTGGAAAGTCCAAAGAGGAAGGGACTCCAGAAAGAAGTTTTAGGGGCGGGGCGGGGTGGGGCGGGGGGAGCGGTCAGAGACCACCACAAGGAGGCCAGGTCTTAGTCCTAGTGATCCGGGGAAGGTGTGGGACCCTGCGTGCGGGGTCAGGAGAGAATGGGGAAAAAGGGTGTGTGAGCGGCAGAACCGCCAGGAAGAAAATCAGAAAAAGAAATCACCTTCCCTACCCCGCTTTTGCCCTCTCCCTCTCATTTGTTAGTGGCCAAACCCCACCGACCATCTCCAATCGTACAGCAGAGAACCAGGATATGGAGAGTGAGGCGGGGTCCCCTGCTGCCCATCTCCTGGCTCAGAGCAGGAAGAGAGTGAAGGAGCATGTATCCGGACCAAGGAGGGAGAGGCGTCCAGCGCTCGCGCTCCCTGATGCCTATGCGGTGTTCCCTTGCTTGCCTCCAGTGTGTCACACGCAAGGCCTGCTCTGAGTGCTAAATCCCAGTTTTCTTTCCAGAGAAGGCGGCCCGCAGCGCTCATTGTCTCAGGGCTTCCCATCTGATGCTGTTGGGCGACTTTGAGGCTGATATTAGGTCTTATCTACTTCAACAACTGTTGTTCTGATGCCCTGGAAACCCCAAGTGTCCCAAGCAAGCACAGCCTCCTGTGCAAGGTACGTGATCGGCCCCAGGTTAGGACAGCCCCAGCCATGGTTGCTGCGGCCAGGCTCTTCAGTGGCTTCTCCTCAAGCTCCACGGGGTGGGGGGCAGAGGTCCTGCGGCAAGGAGAGACTCTTCTGTTAATGCATAGACTTTTCTTTGGAAGGCAAAGCAGCTGTGGAAATGGCTGGGTAAGGGCAGATATTCCTATGAAAGGACCTCACCAGGGATCCTGAACAGACCCAGAGCACAGGCCCGCCCAGTGAGTG